GACTAACACAAAAAGAAATGGAAATTCTTGTTAGTTGTCTAAGTTAGTCTGACTAAGGGCTTTTTTCTTGAAAACCCCAAATTCCAATAATCAAAATAATTCCAAATTCAAATAATACACTGTTATATATATATATATTTATATATTTATCTCATGTTTACCCCTTTATCCTGTGGATATGATTCATTGGATAATTTTTTCATATTCCACAGTTAAGTGCAGTTGTGACGTCACAATGGTTTTTGCGTTAGAGTGATGAAGTAAAATAAAGTGGAGTCCTATATAAAACAGTGTAAAACATTGGTTGTGAAGTATTAAACATGGGATAAAAAGAATCTCCCATGATCTGTAGTTGGATATGACTTTTATCAAACTCGTTGTGTGTTTTTATCCCCTCGCCAAGGCTCGGGGATAAAAAACACCACACAACTCGTTGGATAAAAATCATATCCAACTACAAATCATGGGAGATCCTATATATATATATATATATATATATATATATATATATATATATATATATATATATATATATATATATATATATATATATATATATAAGTCAAACCTCATTATCTCGAACTCAATGGGACCGAGAAAAATATTTGAGATATACATGTATGAGGATTCAAGATATCCAGGGTGAAATACTTAAGAGGCAGTCCACCGAAAAACCAGGCAGTATTGTATTAATAGGCGGCACATCGAATGTGAGGAATATTTGATATTTTATTAAAAACAATATCAATGTAGCCCAAAAGGAATAATGTAATTGAAGATTTGTTTGATAATTGCTTATTCAGTAAAATATCCTTGTGTTTTGTGTTTTTGAATGCCCCTATATAAACCATTGAATGTAGGTCAGAAACAAAGAACTGTAATTTCTAATACATTTTTAACAGGACTATAATTCACACTTAACTAAATCTAGAAATATTTCAACTTTTTGTTTAAAAAATAAAATCGGTGGGAAAAACACTTTTGATAGTAGTTTTCTGGCAAAATATAAGGACGTTTTTATGAAATTTTGCGATGCAAGAGTTATCTCCCGTGGCATCGGTAAATCTGCTCAACACCTTTTTATCGGAATCCTAGTGAAATATTTAGAATCGATACACTAAAGAAAATATTCAAACAAAAAACTAAATAATTTATTTTCAAAATATATTTCATTTTCGCCTCCAGGCGTAATATTTAGATTAAAATTGGCACTATTATTCAGGTTGAATCCACGTTTCCATTGATGTATCAGTGACGTCATATACCTGACTAATATTGCGTCACAATGAAATAGTTACAAGTTTCCAGAGAAGTTTGTAAATTCTTTGCGTAAAAGTGTAAAGAAAAAGATTTTTAAAAAAATGATTTCTCTTTTCTGTTTAATTACTCTTCAGAGTGCATTATTCTAAATGTTAAATAATATTTTAATATCAAAATGTATTTTATACACGGGTGGCGTCTCAGCTAGATGACGTTTTGATAAGTAATTTTATACATGTCTGAGAACTAATTTTTTTTAACTGATTTACTAGGATATGCGTAAAAATAATTAATGAAGTGTTTATCATGAACATTTCTTATAAAATTGGGAATCAATGATGAATGTTTTAGATTTACGCAACACTTATTCCAACAAAGTTGAGATGTTTACTTCATGATATTTGTAAAAACTTAAATATATTTATCTATGCAGTCAAATCAAAATAAACAATCCGAAGTACGATTAAAAATGAAAAAAAACCCTGAAAAATAAGTTATAAAAATATATTTATTGAGTTAAACTACTGCTGAACTCCCCACTATAATTTGGCACTAAAACGGAAGATGGTTTAGTGAAATATTTCGTTTTTTTAATATTTTACTTATTTATTTTTTTAATTTGGCGATTGAAACAATCACACACTCACATTTAATATGGAGTTTAAACATGTGACTATGTTGGCCAATTCTAAAATGTTTTCACGTTTTATGAAACCAATTTTTAAAATAATGATGTCATGACCCCCCCCCCCCCCCCCCGCTTTTTGCTTTCGATTTATCGGCTCTTGAATAGTGATACTATATATGAAAGAACTTATTTTCTTATTTATATAAAATCAAATTTTGTAAAAGAGGAAAAGGCTTTACAGATGACAGGTAAGAAAAGCTTGGATAAAGTCAAGACTGTACACATAAAAACATTTCCTGTATTTAGGCAAGTTTAATTTCGCCACTGATAGAATCTACTCTTTAATTCCTGAGGAAATAAAAAAGGAAATTTTATTTGGAAATAAGATAAATAATAAAGCTAGAAAGCTGTCTGCTCTCATTTGTTGCATAATGCATGTACAAATACTTTTTTTTAAATACCGAGTATCTATTAAGTTTTACATGTAATCATGTACGTAAAAGACATTAGTAATTTAAATAATATATAAATTTGAATCTATGGTTACACTCATTTAAAAACAGTTAACTGACTGAAAAGAAATAAAAGACAAGCATATTTTTCTGATAAATTAATTTAGGAAATGTCTCTAAATTTACAGTAAAAACCGATCCCGATCCGATCGAAAAAATGCAAAATTAACAAATTTATCAAACTAAAGGCACCTGCCACCTATATAACATGTTAAAAAAATAAATCAAGTAAGTTTTTACTCATATTACAACAAAAGAGCCAAATTTAACATTACAATTATAGTATTTTTTTCTTTATATAATTCCGGTCGGGATCGGTTTCATTTGGGAAAAAAAAAAAAAAAAAAAAAAAAAAGGGTAAATTTGACCCCTTTTATTTCTTTCAATATAACTGTTCCCACTGATTTTATTGAGTGATTCAAAAGTTTGTACTTTGTATTCATAATAACATAAGAAAAAAAATATGTCCTTGTAATGTATTGGGTTTTATAACGTAATGAAAATTGGATACTGAATTCAAAAAGTTACTTGCTCAACTCAAATTTGGACCATATAATTTTTTCTAAAGAAGTATAAATTGGAGTCTTATTCATTAATAAAATAAAAGATAAGAGTCTATGCTATAAATAATATTCATCGACACATCCAGCTTTTGAGTATCTGTTACATATAAAACAAAATAAAAACGTAGTATTTTTTTTACCCTTATGTTGACCTTTTTGCACTTAAAATTAAGCATTTACCAAAAATAGGACTAGAGGAGCACTAAAAAATTTTTTAATGTTGTCCTGTGTAAACACTTGCTTTAATAAGTCTACATGCAAAAAATAATTAAAATCCATGGCATGCGATGTGCCACCCATTGCCTGGTTTTTCGGTGGACTGCCTCTTAAAGAATAAGGGTTTGGGACTTTAAAATCACTTTGGCATATCCATGGTATTCAAGATATCAGTGTTCGAGGTACAGAAGTTCAACTGTATATGCTGTATACAATATCAAATTTGTCTTAATTTATTTACACCAAATGTATTTTGAAGGTAATGGCTAACCAACAAGAACTATGTAATTTGAATGATGCTATAAATTACAATTGAGAGGAGGGGGAAACCCTCTCCCTTTGGGTCTCAAAACTGCCCCACATGAACTTCTGGATCTGCCACTGCAATGGATCAAGGTTAGAAATATCAAAAATGTTTTTTTTACATCATAATTTGAATTCATTACACACAGCTGCACATAGCCCCCAACGGTGACCATAGGGGCTTGTCTTCCGGATTGTTAAATATAAAATAAATTTTAAAAATTTTGAATCTTCTTTAAATACACTTAAAAGTTGATAAAATAGAGATTCTGACACTTTCAGTCAAGAAAAACCATGTTTAAAAAAGACGTACCACACCTATATACATAAACTCTACAAGGGATGAAAGCTCATGTCTTGGAAAAAATACCCCAACCCACTTCAGGGCCTATTTCTGGACTCTAAAGCATTAATTTATTTCGTTGCCATAGTTCTGTCCCATAGAGTGATGATTTTCCTAAATGTTGATGCATTTGTCAGTCGTCAACACGCGTTTAATCAACAGAAAAGGATACAATTTCTTCAATTTGGGGCTCATTTTTCTAAATCGACCTGGGGAGAACGGAAGTTAACATGGTTGCATGGTAACAACGCAAGGGCGATAATCGTGGTATAACATATAGCGCGCTTATATAGCAAGTGTCCTGTAAATTATGTAACAAATTAGTTATACATTAAATAATATGAGTCTTCCCGGTGCTGCCTTAGCCCCTGAAAACCAAACTTTAGCCAGTATTTATCATTTTCACTGTCTTTTCTTGTCGGTAAACATTTTTTCCGCAAAACTGGAAGTCCTTGGGTGTTACCATTCGCTTTTTGATTACCCTCTGAGTTTTCCCTATACATTGATTATCTGCCCTTGCGAATTTGTAAACTTCTGTCTTTTTGAGGTCGATGAGCTTTTGTCCCTTGTAGAGTTTATATATATATATATATATATATATATATATATATATATATATATATATATATATATATATATATATATATATATATAGGTGTGGTTAAACATGGTTTTTCTTGAAAGAAAGTGTCAGAATCTCTATTTTAACAACTTTTAAGTGTATTTAAAGAAGATTCAAATTTTTTAAAATTCATTTTATATTTAAAATCCGGAAGACAAAACCCTGTGATGGTGACTCTGTCGAACATATTATAAATGTATGTTTAGGCCAGCCGCTCCCCACCATATTTTTTGCACGCCGGTGAAGAAAATATTTATTAAAGAAATCGTATACCAACAACTACGGTGGTTGATATAGTAGTCGAATTATGATGTTTTATTAAATTATTTTTTTACACACCCGGAGCAAGTCCCTGTGGCCTGTGGGGGGCAAGGGCCCTGCGATCTGATGCATGATGGCATGATCATACAACTGACGATATTCGGTAAAACCTAAATATGTTAATCTTTTGTAATGGATACAGATAATCAGGGTGTTTTGTTGAGATATTAATTGTTATGCATTTCCCAACTCAATATATAAATGACTACGATGATAAAAATTAGTCAAATACCGTAAAGTGGTAAACAAATTTTCAATGCAATACAACACCGGATCTCTTCTACGTTAAATAAAGAATAAAATAGTTAGGGTAAACTAAATAATCCCGGAATATCACGTCCATGGTTTTACAGTGAAGAAATGAACGCTACAGGGATGATCCACATTTGTCATTTTTTTTTCTATTTTAGTTATAAGTATCCAGAAAATGCAAGCAAAACGATTTTTTCAAAAGGCTGTATTGGGGGGGGGGGGGGGGGATGGGGTCGAAGTAGAAAAGATGGAACGATTTCTGCACTTATCACCTGCATAAACAGATAAAGGGTTTATGTCTCCCAGTTGATTCGATACTCAAGAACATGCTCTAGGTACGGCCAATTTTTAAAACGAGGCAATTAATTAAGCTATTAACCAACAAGTTGATAAAACAACAGTCTCGTTTGAAGTCATCATTTCGCAAGTTCTATGGTCGATACAATGACCTTATTAGCAAATACCATCTATCATTAGGTCAAATGCTGACTGACTTTTTCATAATAATTGTTAGGCCATTATTTAAACACTGATATTTCTACAGATTTTTCCGATTACCCGATCAAGATAAGGATCACAAGGTGGTTGTGACCGGTCGACAGGGGATGCTTACTCATCCACGACACCTGATCCCTCCTCTGCTGTTTTTGGAGGTCCGTGTTTGCTCTTCTCCCGATTTGTATTGTTTCTATAAATGGATTTTTCCCCTGTATGACTTAGGGGTCCCCTGTGGCTTTCCTTATGTATGACCCTCTTTACAATTTGTGGGGGCCGATGTTTCGTGGGGGGATGGTAAGGGTCTAAAGACATTTGTTTTAGTTCCTTTACAATATAATCTCAGGAGGGTTCGGTCCCCTACCCCCCCCCCCTCCCTCCGAATCTTCCTGCGTTCGTATCTTCGCATACATCTATCAGCTTTATCCCTGAACCATTGTATACCGAGTTACACAGGAGATCAGTATAAGAGATGGTGGCTATGTCAATAAAAGGCATATTGATTAGCGAGGAAAAACTATTCATGTAATCGATGTTTAATCTGTCAGATGTGCACAGGAATTATAGAGTCCATTGATTTCATTTCGTTTAGAAGGTTGAGTTGATTCTGAAAATTACTCATTTATGAACAACTACACCTTATGTTTGCGGGTAGTGAAGGTGAATTTTTATCATTATTCCTTGATTAAAGGACACGAACTACTTGGACAAATTACATTTATAGACAATAAGCCTTGATCTAATTAATTTTCTATAAAGAAGACTATAGTGTACACATTATAAATTACAACTGGTGCTATTTTTTTGTCCACGAGGCTGACCACACAGGCGTATCAATTTCCATCAATTTATTATGCAACTCAAATTTACACAAATTCAATCCGCGAGAGCTTTGTGAATTTATTTGTTTGCTTACATGGATTAAAATTGATTCGTCAGGAGATAGGACCCTCGCATTAATTTCTCCGACATGGAAGTTAAAAAAGCTTGTAGCGTTCTTTTCTTCTGTCAGCTCTGCGTCCCTGGTGAGTTTTATTTTGAGAATTTTTACTCACAATTTGTTACTTCATTTTTGTATTTTTTTTTTTACTTCAAAATAAAATTTTCTTTAAAGATAAACTAAGATAAACGAAAATTTATATTTCCCCTGATGTACCGTTGCCACTGAATAGTTGTACTCTGTTTGGCCCTGATAATTACTGTATGAAACTACGTAAGTATAAAATTTAATACTGCAAGAATTTTCTAGTTGTATTTTCAATATATTTCTCAGATTCCATATTCATATTGAGGCCCCCTTCTCCGCCCCTGACAGCACTTCTCCGACATGTAAATTTATATCGTTATGGCGCATTTTTTTCTTGGATTTAACCGAGATAAGAAATTACATTTTCTTAGAACTTACACAGAAATTAAAAAAAAAAAGATATTTTTAATTAATCTTACAGTATTTAAAGAGTTTAGTACTTCAGTACTTAAGAATTTACAATTTCTAACTTGAACTGCAGATATTTTGATATCATATCCCATGCTCGCGTGATTTGGCTTTCATTTAGAACAAAAGGTGATGATCATTTAATCTATCAAATTAGGACTTGTGTCAGGATGTAAAATATTTTACTTCAAAATTATACTATTTGAAAATTAACACATAAGTTTGCATTTTGAACCTTTGCTGTACTACAAATGTGGAATGCACGATAGAGAAGCATGTAACAGGAGCATCCGGATTTGAATTTTATTTGAATTACATTAATATTTTAAGTTTAATCTTTTATAGACAAACAGTCAAACGTTGTCACATTTTAAATCGTCAAGCTCTGAGGCTTTATTAGTTGCAGAACTGTAGCCCCCCCCTCCCCCCCCCAAAAAAAAAATAAATAAATAAATAAAAAATAAATAAATGAAATAAAAAAATTAAAACAAAAAAATACTGATAGACACGGTCGTCCATCCCAATTTTTTCAGATCATTGATGAGACTTCAGTGGAACTTTGAATATTATCAAACCCTTAGAATTTCAACATGGTAATTTTTTTTATTCAGTTGGATTATCGTACCTCCTGGACGACCTTGTTACCTCGGTATTCCAGACTTACAAGAAGGAGGTGCGGCCGTACTGTGATGACACACAGAATAAATCTGTAGTGGTCACTATAGACCTGGGGGTCCGACAGCTTGTGGATCTGGTAAATCATCTGTTACACTTGTACATCTATGTAATCATCTGTTAAACTCAGAGTTTGTTTAAAAATCTCGACTATTTATTTCAACTGAACATCTACATGTATTCAGTACGGTGTCTTTGTATTGTTTGTCTTTGTTACACTTTGCACTTATCTGGCAAGGAGTTTAGAAGAGTTTTATTATAGTGCTCGCTCCGTAGTTGGAAGACCATGGGTTCGAGCTCTGGTCGCAATAAACCTCTATATAATAATAGGTAGCAACTACTCCTTCGTGCCATTGAAATAAAAGTTTTGGGTCCTTAAACTGTTGAAAACCGAGGTATCGTGTCTCAGCAGGCATTAGCACTCTAAACAGACCTAATTTTTTACTCAAAGATCCTATGTGCCGAGTAAGGGTCTAAATTTGGAGCCCTTATTCGGTATTTGCATGTCTCATCTGAGTGAAAAACATTTTGGAAAGGTTTTTAAAACAATATAAAATCGATCAATCTACAAGTGCTCGGGGGGTGTCAGCTCAAGCTATGACATAATTATGTATTTTGAAAATCCTCTTTTGCTGGTGTGGGGTTGGGGTCGACCAAATACGCTTTGATTTAATGTGTAAACAGACGCAGGATGTCAAAAGTATCATCAAATATTTTTAATTACCAATATGTACATGTCAACAAAGTCAAAGTGTTAGTTTTTATTAATTCTTAGTGATAAAAAAATATGATGAGGAAGAAAATTTATATTAAAATGTTTCATGTTTCAGAATGAACCCAAACAGACCATTGATGTGACGGCCTGGATGAGGGTGGTAATGCTTTACTTTAATCATTATCTTGTGTATACAGTCATACAATGTCTCCATTTTACCTGTGAAATTAATTATCTACAAACTTCAGAATTCTGACAAAATTAACGAGGAATCCCACGCTCGCCGTAAGATAGAATCAACATGTCGGTGTATTTATTAAGTTGTCATTCAGTGAAAAGTGCAGCTAACATTGAGTTCATTTCAGGACTGGATTGACTGTAGATTAAGATGGAATAAGTCCCACTATAACGGAATCGACAGGCTTGCTGTACCACAGGACAAAATTTGGATCCCTGATCTTACACTTTATGACACGTATGGTATCAGGAGAGAGAGAGAGAGAATAATTTATTCGAGAACGCTCCCTTACCTATTCACCGCTGTCACATGTATCATTCTTATAAACTTATAAATATAAACAGAAACACTATTATATAACTTATATACCTATGTACTTACAAAAAGCAAAGAAATCTATCAGACCAGGGCCCAGGATCAGGAAATAATTTATTCAGAAATGCTTACATTGCGCCGAAATGATATAGTTCTAAAAATAAATATGTTTATAGGAATTCCTCAGGCACGTAGAAGCAATTTCAGGTTAGGGTGAGCAACCTAACAAAGTTAGTTTTCTTTTTTTTTTGGGGGGGGGGGCTACCTTACGAATATTCCTAACAAAAAAAGTCATCGGGCGTAATTATTGAGGGTGCACAACTGTAACTTATCTTCATTTCCTATATATATTTATTGTATTTAATGAACTGTATATACTTGCAAAATTATTGGGAGGGGACACGACTCCCACCCCGGTTCCTACGGGCCTGTGAGTAGGCAGACTGCTGTTATTATGCACATTTTAAGCTTTGTTTTATAGCTACAACCATTTTACAGATTATTGAAATTTTTACGGAAGTCCAGGTTTATTTCATGATCCTAGGCCAAAAGACAGAAGCAAAGTACACAAGCATACGCATAAAAATATTTCTATGATATTTCTTTTGATCTAATATTAGAACTGATGTGAAGGGACTCCCGGGGATGAAGGATTATCGAGCCATCGTGCACAGTGATGGCCGAGTACAATATCAGTTTCCCTCCAGTGTCCGGACGTCTTGTGCCATCGACGTTTATCACTTTCCGTTTGATACCCAGGAATGTCGTCTTGTGTTTGGGTCGTGGATCTACACTGGGGCAGAGGTGCACATCGTCAACAAGAGTTCGACCCTAGATATGTCTAGTTACGTCAACAACACGGAATGGGACGTCACGAGAGCGGACGCCACCAGTGTCGTCACGTACTACAGTGACGTTTCCTACCCAACAATGGAGTGTATATTGGGATTGCGGAGAAAACCTTTATTTTACGTCATGAACCTGCTATTTCCGTGCTTTTTGGTGTCCTTTACGGCTGGTCTTGGTTTTATCCTGCCCCCTGAGGCTGGGGAGAAGGTCAATCTGGAGATCACTGTCCTTCTGTCCCTGGCTGTTTTTCAGCTGGTCATCGTAAACATGATTCCCGCGTCTGGAGAAAACCCTCCTTTATTAGGTTTGTTTTCCGTGGATTCTTAAGATATATCTTTTTTACTCCTGTTTTCTCCCAACTCATTTATGAAGATTTCGACCTCGCATACTGTAAATTAGTCATTAGGCGTTATGCAACCTAAAATCAAAGTTGTGTTTCATTTATTGAATTAGCTCAATTTTTCAAAGTTTGAATGTCCAGAGACTGAAAGAAAAAAACTGTTGACAGCAAATTAAATTCATGTATTACTAATAATGACTCGGAGAAATTGTGAAAGAGATTTTCCTTGCAGTAATCATCCCTCTCTTCCTTTCCAGCAATTTACTTCCTTGTTTCGATGATCTTGGTTGGTTTGTCCTGTCTGATGACTGTACTGGTTCTCAACATACATTACAAGAACAGCGGTCACGTGTCCTCAAGAGTCAGGAAATACGTCATCAAGCCACTGCAGACGATAGCTTGTGTGTATGCACAATATGACCACGACAAAAATGTAATTTTAATACAGTAACTTATGAATTCTTGAATGTTCAAAGATAAAGTGACATTTAAATAATGACATTTTAGTTACACAAAATCCGCATATACCGCAGTAATTACTGTATATTTTAATGAAATTTGTGTATTTTTCATACATGTATAAAAAGAAACTGATAATTCAAGCTTTACTGCGTCAAAAGGCTTTATTTTTTTCAATTTTGTTTTTTTATTTTCATTTTGGTAGATGCAGCATGCAATGGTATTCAAAAGGTGATCAATTTCTTTGCAGGAAATGTACTTGTAAATAACACACATACATTAATCACTCACTGGTAAGAAACAATATTGTATAATCTATATGGTCTATTTTTTCAGGATAATTTGTACATCGAACGTTATAAAAGAAAAGGAAACATTTTCCATTTTCCTCACCAAGAAGAAAGTAAGCATCGTCAATATATTGACAATGAAAGCCAAAAACAACAGAAACCGCTCATTGTGGGGTTTGAGGGACAATTACTAGAAATATTGAGGGAGATTAAAGAATGTAGTGCCTCAATCCTGGCCAACCAGGAGAGGGAACCAAACAGTGTTGACTGGTCCTCAGTTGCCGTGGCCTTAGACAGGGTTTTCTTCGTAATATACCTGTTGTTCAGTATTGTTGTGTCTTTTTCCATCATGTTAGAGGCAGCATTGGGAAAATAAATGATGTCGACTGTGCAATAATCATACTGGAAATTTTGAGAGAGAATTAAGAGAGAAAATGCGCCACAAAAAGAGAGTTTTCATTGCATCATAGGATAACCAGTACCTTAATAATGTGAACAATGGTGAATGACTGGAAAAAAAGTGATCAAATAAATGTATTTAAAACTTTTTCAGTTTTTCTATTAAGCTAGTGCATTTTACCTGCAACAACAATATCATGTTGGTGGTTTCTAACTTAGTTTTTATATTAATCGTGTTTGCACTTTGGCGTTAACTTAACTGTACATTTAGTTGGTAGTGTATTCATTTTCCTTACACAAATTTTGGTATAAACAATCATTTCATATTAATTGTCCTGGGGCCCGTTTTATAAAAGAACTTACGACTAAGAACAAAATTTTTACATGCTTGTAACTTTTCAATTTACATTAGAGAGGTTGAGATTTCATACAGTCATGTACGGGTACGTGTGCACAAACTTTGACGTTCACGTACACGTTTTTTGTAATTTGTCTGTTGAGATTTTAATGACGTGTAACTCGAACGTGTAGACTGCAATCGATGTCTCTGTTTCAACTATCTAGTAGTTTTGTGACATTAGTTTGACTTCAGTTAGTGAACAAAACATGGTTAAAATAAGTGTTCATGAAACTTAACATCCTAAATAATGAACAGCAATAACAGTTCCACACATAAATTGACTAGTTTTTATTGAAAAAGCTACAAGTTTACACCTACGTGTAGATGCCTTTTTACAAGTTGTAGGAACGTGTAAGAAAACTTATCAACTCCAAAACTGATGACGTAATACGCGAGAAATTTAGGGAATTCCCCTACTAGACGTACCCATACACGTACACGTATGAAATCTCAACCTCTCTATTATATAGAAAATGATTTTAATCTTTTTAAAAGGAATGTAGTAAAATATTTTTACACCAGCAATTTTAAACAGAATCATTAACTTTGAAAAATTTTGCAAACAATTTAATTTTTTTTTCTTAGTCGTAAGTTCTTTTGTAAAAAGGGCCCCTGTTTTTAGTTTTTGTTTTTTTGTAAAATATATCATATTTACATTAGTTGTTTCAAAATGACAGAATGTTATTGATGGAGGGGTTAAGTAATATTATTATGTACGGTGAATATCTTGTCAATATTTAACTCCATTGTCTATTTCGTCCTTCGTTTAAGTAAAATCGATCACAGATGCAGTGTTAATTAGCCTACTAGGTCAATGTTGTAACATCAGTGTTCAAAGAAATAAATGTTAGGTAACAGGGTTACACGTGGTAACATTACACTCTATAGATATTCAATATTTAATTTGTTCCTAGAAGTTGAACTGTCATTCATACACGTCTGGTCTCATCACAACTTGAAACGATTTCAGTAAAATAAGTAGCTAGGAGAATGTATGGTGATCTCTCCATTTGTTAAACTTTTTTTTTTTAATCTTTGTGCTTATAATTTAAAATGATGGGGCCTAAAATATAGGAACAAACATCTTGTTAAGCGATCAAAGTTAAACTGCCAATGTATTTTGCAATAAATGTTTCAAATTTTGCTGCACAGAGTTTTTTTTATTGAGTATGAACATGATGAAAACCATTAAATTATAACGAATAAAAAGTTGAATCTATTCAATGTGGCACCTTTCGTAGACACCCGCCCTACGTATTATTTTTATGAATAATAATTTCAGCAATGTAACTTTCAACATATGTGATTTTGATGATCCATTTTCAAAGCCCACTTAATTTAAAACCCACTTAATTTAAAGTAAATATTCAGTCTTTTTGAAATTCCCCGCTAGTAGGTGTTCTTGTGGGTTGCAAATCCATCATCTATCCGATTAAAAAATTGAGTAAAATTTCAAGAAAAATACGTATTACATTAATTTTCTCGTAAATTTCTTAAAATCACTAAATTGAGAGGTGTACCATTTTAAATAAAAAAATTATAACATTGGTTGCTCCTACCTACTGTTTGTTTGGCAGTCTCAGCCATCGTATCGTTATAAAAATGATAAATAAAATCATTTTAAATTAATATGCAAAAATATCGCTAGTTGTGGCTCAACAAAAACAATTAAAATATCCACAGTGATATGCATTGTGCTTTAAAAGAACTGTCTTACTTTTCAAATTCGTTAACATGATTGCAAATCCATAAAAACATTTTCTATGGTTAACTATAGTTTACTATAAACTATGAAACTTTACTCTAGAACTTTTTTGAAGATTTATAGCCTTAATATTTCATAAATTACATACCAATGATGTAAATCTTTAAAATAATATTGAAATATACAAGTAATATTTCTGTTTACTATAAGAAAAATGCTTCAAGAGATTAAAAAAAATGTATATAACGATCTGAAATTCCTAGTAAAAATACTCTGATTAACTATAGTAAATACTTTGATTTACTATAGTAAAAACTAGTTATGCTTTACTACTGTTAACTTTACTATCAAATGATTCACTATTATACATGTAATAGTAAACCAGTGTTTTTACTGTAGTTAATAAAATTATAGTTTACTGTATTATTTTCTTGTTAAGGATTATTCATAATTTCTGATTTAAGACAACATGAAAAGAAATCCAAGCAGCGCCACCCTTACAAAAATACCATATTAATCTATAGTTATCTATATGTATACTGAAAACTTGAACATAGTTTACACTTTGGTGTTTTTATAACAGTTTTTACATGTACATGTATGAGGTGGCTATTCTACGAACCTGATTTGAAGCACTTACACTCCATGACATTAATTTGTATACTGTGAATTACTAATGTCCCATACTAAAAAAAACATAATATCATTGGGTCCTCAATTAACTACAACAAAATTCATTATTAAAAAATAACATATTGAAATGAGGGACAAACTTTTTTTTGTTAGAGAAATATCTTGTTAGTATCATTCGTTGAAAAATATTAATTTTCAAAAAAGAATATAATGATAGATTAAAAGTATGCTAGATTTCAAAGATTTTTTTTCAAAGTTTTTAGGTAAAAGCTTCTCTCTGCCCCCCCCCCCCCCGCCACACACACAGAGGATACATATAACAAACACAATGAAATTGTTTCGTGATAAAATAGCAAAATTAAAAGGAATTGAATAGAGTTGTGTCCAGCAAGTCATAATTGAACAGTTTTGTATCATTCTTAAAAATCAATCCTAGCCTCAAGAATTAAATGGGAAATTCAGGGGAAAAAACAAATGAAAATCAAATTCTTCACTACTGATTTGTGTGCCCCCTCCCCACCCGTTGGCTTGGGTGTCAAAATACCAAGATGCACGATAGATGACTCTTAGTGGGATCCTTTCAATAAAGAATTATCAACTTAATCCATTCCTGTCAATTTTTATTCTGACGATATGTTGAAAATTGTATGCATTTTATTTACTAAAATATATAGGGCTGGGCCACAATAGAAAATCAAACTTTTACATGAAATACGTTGGAGATAACGAACCGTATTCGAGCTCAAAGTCCATTAAACATTACAAAATAGGAGCAGAGCAAACACGGACCTCTAAGACATCAGAGGTGGGATCAGGTGCCATGGAGGAGTGAGCATCCCCTGCCGACCGGTCACACCCGCCGTATGCTCCTTGTCATGATCGGGAAATAACGGAAATTCTGTCGACAAATCAGTGTGTAGATAATGGCCTAACAAATAGTATGAAAAAACTCAGTCAGCATTTGACTTAATGAGAGATTGTATTTGCTGACAAGGTCATTGTATCGACCATAGAACTTACGAAATGATGACTTTAAACGTTCCTTTAAATTTTTTAGTATCCACATCTGATTTACACCACTTCTCGAATATACTGTTGCACCTGTTGTATAAAAATATACATGTATAGGAGAAAATCTGTAAAACTCTTTTTAAAGCCATGATTAGTCATACAAATATAGAAGTATCCCCTCCAGGGATAGAATGACACCACTTATAAATTTAAACTGTTCAATAATGAATTGATTTCTGCTTTTCTTTAACCAAAGTGCTCAGGTGAGGGATGTGGCCCATGGGCCTTTTGTTGATTAATAAAAGAAAGTTTTAGAAAAATCTGCATTTGTGGTGTGGCAGATTTATTTTCAATTAAATTAGGAACAATCCCTATGCACTTCCCTGCGTCCTCGTGGAGACATTCTGTACATAAATTGTTTTAAATCTCGGTCGAAATACATGTAGATGATATGACAATTAAAAGTTGTTGGTTTTTCTTCTGTAATTTACTCATGACAAAGGAATGGTATCACTTTTTTATGGTGTACATGTGGAAATACATTGACAAAAACTAAACATCCGCATATAATTAATTAAGTCGGTAAATATTTATCCTAATATTTACTACACATGCCTGTTTAAACCCTCCCGTAACCTCTAAAACATTAGTTGTTCTTGAAGACAATCCCCTGTCTGTCGTTTGATTGGTGGAATTAATTAAACTTTTCACAGAGTGGACGCATAAATTTATTTAGTGGATTATTTGCACTGACCTATTTTCATCTTAGGAAGGAATGGGGATTTTTGAATTACGCAAGGTGGCCACAGAACCGGTGTAACGATGAACATGCAATTCATGCATAACCCATTTATGCAAATTAATCAAATGACTTGGACACAGTATAAATAGAGAAAAGAAAAACAGAAATTGTTATTCCTATATAAGAAGATGAAGATGATATACATTGCATTGATTGCTTGTATTCTTTTTTCAAGTGAGATTTTTTTCCATTAAATTAATTATCAAACTTTTTATTTAATTTCATTAATCTATATAGCTGCTAAAGAATTTAATTATTGTAGTTTAAGAATGTACAATCACATATTTTTGATATCTAAGCCCTAAATCTTACCTGTTTATAGGTTTACAAATGTATTCCTCCCAACCACTGTTACCGAAGGACCTTAAGAACCGAGAGAATTTCCGGTGCCCTGATATAAACAGTCCCTATTGTACCCTGGACGGGACCAAGAGATACAAGAACGCATGCGAGGCCTGGAAAGCGTAGGTTTATTATAACTTTATCTAATACTTTTAAGGACTTCTTTGCACTGTATGAGAAGTGTGATCTACCTTAGATCTAAATAAAACAAGAAAACATTGATGTAACCATCAATCGCCCGCGAAATAAATAAAGTAAACAATGGAAATGAGTCTTGATCATCGAACCACTTCGATATGTGTGAAAAAGGCATGTGTCTAAATGATGGAGACGATAGTCGAGAATATGTTGAAAACTTGTAGTCGGATGAAAATCGAACAAAAACGATACCCTTTTAAACTTTATCAATTCCTCAAGTAAATGTTGGCTGCATAAAATATAATTTGAAACCAGACACATGCATCACCTATTTTCAAAAATGTCTTTCACTTTAAGAATATAAAACACGAACTGTGTAAAGTACATTTTTACGTTTTTATGCGATAAGTAAAATTCGATGTTCTAAAAAAAGGGACCTGTCGTTTTTTCGATAGTAAATGATAAGCAACTTTATATATTAAATATGAAAAACATATATATTTTTACAGATTCACTTTATGGAAGTAAATATATTGTGTTTCTCGTAATTTATAGAGGGAAAGAATATTCTGATTAACAATCTTTTTAATGTTTAGAAAACCTTTCATTCTGAATACTTCTCCCACCTCAGTCCCCATATACCTATGTATAGAGCAGCCCGGTCCTCCGGGCTGCAATAACGTTCCTTACTAAATTTTTTATCAATTTGATTAAGCCTTCTTTACATTTTATTCGACGAAAATAAATTAGTAGAATACTAATATTTGAATTGCATATCCCATTTCCTTTTAAGCAATAGTGGTTTCTTCTTGTCAATGAACCTTTTTCTGGGAATAATTGTTAAACATGAAATAAATGTAAATAAACTCAGTTTTTACACCTGTATAGATACTTCACAATTTTCTCAATGTCCAGACAATTTTTTTTCTTATCAGTAAATGGTTCTTTATAAGTATTTCAATTCATTAAATTTATTCTAATGATTTACGCAGCATTTTCGTCCCAGACACTTTCGGGAAAAAATGCATTCATTTTGAATTCAAAATAATTTAAAATATCTCCGAGTAAAACGTCCCTATAGCAAATAGAAAAAAAGGTTTAAATATAGTCCAGGGGCTAGCAGGTCGACAGGTATTTCCTCAAAACAAGTGCTGAAAAAACTTCCCTTGCTTTGGATGACGTATATACGTATTTACATGAGTGACGATTCTGTTCTTTTCAATGTATTTTCTGGAGAAAGTTCATACTCCTCTAATTAATAAATAATTCCCGTTGTTTGTTGACACGTGTCACAGAAAATGACTCTTAATTCAAAGTGTTTACACCAATGATTAGTGACGTTTTATTTATGTATCATGATATGTACTTTACAAATTAAAAAAAAAAAGCCATCAAACATAGAATTACAAAATGATGAAAATAAATGTTTTACAGATACGAAGAAAAGGTCAAACCTTGTACGTAGCACCAAGTGATCACGATGCATCGAATGATAATGAAGGTATATTTATTTATTTATTTATTTAAAGTGTATTTTACTCAAAACAATGATCAAAATAAAATCTTTTTTCTTTCAGTATAATCTTTATATACTTTTATCAAACTAACCACACCTGTCCTACATGTAGTATAGAATTTGTTTTCTAAATGACATTAGACTTGTCTTCACATATCATTTTCTTTCTTTTTTAGGACATCATTTTGATGGATCTCAAACTTGAAGTCAGTCAACCCAGGAAAATCCAGTTTCTGATATTGTATTTTTTATATGCTTGTTTTAGTATTTTGCCTTTTGTTATTATTATACACCTATTTATTTACGTGTTTTCTTTTTATCTGTTAATATCCTGTAAATGGAAGTAAATATATTTATTTTCCAAATGCGTTACATTTTTTTTTTTTTGTTAAAATAAGGATAAAAAAAACATTGCACTGCTGTATTAATGAAAATTACAGTTTTAGTTTGTGGACTAATTGTGAATTAATTATGTGATATATCTATATCAGAAATTTTCCTATCAGGTTTTAAAAAAAACAGAAACTCAACTACAACACCAGAACAAAATTTATAAAGAAAACTGTTTATATTATCGCTGAAGCAAAATGCGTAGTCATGCAATTAAAAAAAAAAGGTGAATAAAATAAATGTTATATATTAAAACTAAAAAGATCACATTTGTAACTAAAATATAAATATTTTAGCGCTGCTTATGAAAATTAATAAACTATGACATTTTAATTTCTGCAATCTCACAAACATGTAATGTCTTTGTTGATTTCTAAACACTTGGGATCGTCCATTGGTTCGCATATACCTGGAAAAAAATATACAGTTGAATTATGGAAATCGCAAGTTTTGACAAGTTGTGACTTTAATTTCTTTGAACTGCACAAACAGATATGATACGTGTAATAAATGCACAGAGAGTCCTTAATAAAATAAATAAAATAAACAAAAACACTAACAAAAAATACAATAAATTAATTTTAATGGTTATTAATAATTTTGTACAAATGTATCGGACATATTAGTATGTGGGGAATTACCCGCTTTTCCGGGAAATATGTTGCAAATTATGATATCCATATTATCATTTTATTTATCTTGTAATCTAACTACCAAATTAGTGCTACTTATTGTAGCCAATTTCTCACGCCAATTCACTGCAGAAGACCTTGTGTAACAATATCAAAAAATTCTATTTTCTTATCTTTAAAATGGTCACAGCACTGCTACTCATTTCCTCTTTCATTTTTGTGCATTTCTCTTTCTTGAGATCATGAATAACTTGGTTGGAGAAATCCGTTGATTATGTTCAGTTGTGACAGATTCAATATTTAAGAAATTGAGGCGAACGTTTCACAATGCTCTACTATAGTTTATAAGCACAAGTGCTATGCAAAACCCTGCCCTATGTTTGACTCAATTTACTTTCTTCAGAAAATAGAGGCATTATTCTGTTCTATGTCATATATACATATATACATATATACATACATACATATATATATATATATATATATATATATATATATATATATATATATATATATATATATATATATATATATATATATATATGGTTAAACAAAGTTAGGAAGATGTCCAGTGCATCCATAGCATGTTCTGTGTTTTTCTGCAATTTCTGGGGTACCCGGTTGGATCCCCAATATCCCTTATTTCGTACAATATTAAGTATACTATAAATTTGTACCTGGATGTCCTGTGGGGTCCCCCATGGGAGGTTGTCCTTCAAACCAGGAACAGTTAAAGTCTCCGAGTTCAAGTCCGTTAATTTTCCCATCAGAGTCCGAGTCTTTCCCACATAGCTCCTGAGTCCAGGTAAAGTTAGCGTCCATAAAATCCTAAATTGTCAAAACAAGGGATAAAAGCTGTTAAATTTCTTTATTTAAGCAGAACATTCTAAAACATTTGCAAAATGCCACCCTCATAAACTTTTTCTAAGGTACATGTACCTGTCCGAACGGATTTAGTGACCCCCCTCCGTTCGCGATATTGTGTCCCACTCCATTCCATAATCCAAACACATTGGTACAAGGGTTAGGAACATTTATTCCATTTGGTATTTTCAAGCGATAGCCGGGAAGTCCAAACGCAGAGAAAGATAAGAAAAGCACAGTTAGGGCACCTGACAACATTTCAGCCCAAGTCTAGAGTACAGATTGTAATGGCCTTGAATCTTTCTGGACGGTAACAAGTGATAATACTGTGCCTTGTCTTTCATATCGGGAAAGTTGACTAAATATATAACCCACCAACAATCTCCCCACGAGGCACTGGACATAACAAACAATTAGGGGCATGGCATTCTTCTCCTAAAATAGGTGTCATGCGTATTATATATGTCACAATCATCTATAATAGTGTTCATAGAACAAATCGGTACAAGTAATGCGAAGATTACTCTTTGATACAAATTACTAACAATATATAGTTTTAATTTTGTTGTTGTTTAATTTGTTCATTTTTATGTTTTGTTTGTTTACTAAAAAGGAAAATATTTAATCAATATAAAGAGATACCTTACAATTTCGCCTTATCCTTAATTCACAACGTTTTTTTAACAGAAATATGAAATGGCAACCCGACTGAACAGAACAGTGGTCATTGATCCTGCGGTAGAGGGAAAAATGTGAAACACAACATACAAGTAAATATCAAACTGTCTGAGACAAAAGAATCGCTAATTTGTATTTAATTATGGTGACTTAATTCTAACCCAATCTGCAAGTTCTTCCACGGATTTTCGATTGTTAGGTGTTAGATGATCAGAAGTATATGTCAAATATACACTGTAGGATAGTATTTTGGGCCCCTAGGAACATGCAACTTATATGTGCGGTATATTAACATGCCACATAACTATGCAGAAAAGAAATTACAATACGCTGAGATGTGAATTAATTAATATTTAGAAATGTACTCTAAATACTGTGTACAAGTGCACTTCCAAGTACAAATTAATTACGTTGATATGCAATAAATACATTTAAGTGAACGTGACTTAATTGAACATTCTTGGGACAAATCATATCTACTAGCGACTTTTGGAAACTTTCGCAAAATCTTATTTTGCGACCACTGTATTTTTCAAATACGATAACCAATTATCTATTGAAAAAAATATCAAATGCATAACCAAAACCACGAATGTGCAATGCATAATATACATCTATAACCTATGTATACACAATTTAATGTACATGTAAAAACAAGAGGCCCATGGGTCACATCGCTTACCTGAGAAATACCTTTCACCACAGCATAATTAATGTGCATATTGATATGAAATAAGTTTAATGCTGACAAGTTTTTTATACTAGTATTTTGCAAGTTAAAACACAATTCATCCGAATAAAAAAAAGAAACACCATCACTTTTCAAATTTTATACAAAATGAACTCACTTCCCATTAATTAAAGTATTGATTAGACAGGGTTGTATTGTCTCCTCTGAGAAACATTTTAGCTAATATCGACTGATATATTGTAAATTTTGAATTTACCGGGTGGCAGTCAATTCAAAATTTACGAAAATTAACGATACTACAGATAAGAGGTTACCCTACATTTATTTCACTGTTTATGATGAGAAGGGGGTTGATATGGATACCTTTGTTAACACATTCGACGTTGTTTTTCTGTTTCTCGGAAAGGCACGAGAAGTTGTGATTAATTGTGCCCCATGATCCCTTGCACTTTGTTATTGGCTCCCATGATTCCTTGCACTTCGGGACAAGACTACAATGCCTTATGTTCTACATTTTATAACAGACGTTAGTTTCCACTGTATTTAATTTACATATTCCAGTACATGAGAAATTAATAAATTAAGATGGCCATATATATATAAAGAGAGAGAGAGATAGATAGAGAATATTGTTGGGTTCCACACTGTATAACCTAATCCAGAACATTGTCTGGAGCGAACTTCCATAGACATTAAGGAGAACATATTTGCATGTTCAGATGATGACATATTAAAGTTCTAAACATAAACAAGCTGCTTTAAAAAATGAAGGTGAATAAAACAAAACATTTTTCATTCATTTAATATTCTCATTTCTACACATTAATACATGTACATTCTACATATACTGCATAAACTACCATGACACATTCAGTGCAAAATAATTAATTAATGAAATGTGCAATAATGTACACGATGAATAATTGGAAATTGGCATGGTTATATACAAGTTATGTTGGCATTAACCTTCATACAATTGGCATCAGACATCGGCTCACAAATACCTGAAAATACAGAGAGGATTCTCTTAGAATGAAAACCACCCTTGAAGAAACTTTAGCATAAATTGTAGCTAAATACACGCATGCATATGTACCCACAGAAGCGGACAGAGATGAATAACAAGCATTGTTATTTCAAGTTGCAATAATACATTTATTCTAATGTGAAAAAACCACACACTTTAAATAGAAGACTGTTTAATGTTTTTCCCTTTTCAATAAAAGTTTGTCCCTAAAGCTCACATTATCATTAAATAGATGTGAAAATCTTAATTTTATCAAGAAAGGAATCTTGTATTTCGAAATCGCTTTTGTTTAACGTATAAAAGATGATTAAATTATATCCCCTTCTCCATCTATCCCTGCCGTTTAGTTAGTCCACCAGCTTATACATTAGAGAAGTCATACCTGGATGACCAGTTGCGTCCCCTGCTGGAGCATCCCCCTGCTTCCACACACAGTTTGGGTCTCCCAGTTCCTCCCCATTTGTCTTGCCGTCCATATCGGAGTCTTTCTGACACAAGTCCTTGGTCCACTGAGTATTGGCCGCCACGAAATCCTGAAATCACAAGGACAGATTCTTCTCTGTTATACATCTGACTACACATACTGTAAATCAGTTTTTACTCGCGATAACTTTATTTTAGCGTAAGTACGCGAGGCTATCTGCTCTCGAAAATTTCATTCTCGTGCATTATTCTCCTATTAAAGAATAATTGAATAGTAACCAAATTCGTGAAAATTTTGTTTCGCTTATATATACCAAACAACAATCTCGCAAAAATAAGGAGACATAAAATATTATTTAGTGATTTACAGTTACGGTAGATTATCTTTTTGAACGTTTTCATGTTATACAATTTTTCTTTCATTGTGCGAACTCTGACAATGAATTAACATCTATAAACCCTTTTAGTGGTTAAAGGAACTTGATATATATTATTATCTACAGCTGAAACATCGATCTCTCTAATAGCATGGATATGTAGAGGTGAATTAGAAGTTTATTCCTTATTTTTTACTCTCTGTTTAGAAAATCATTTCGGGGTACTATTCCTGAAAGTTTAGAATTGTATCTTTCAAGACCTATACATGGTATGATTTGAATAGATGAAAATTAATTAATCTTAATAAATCAAAATTAAAAAAAAAGGAATGAATGAGAGGTTTTTTTTTTTTTTCTAAATAAGATACTATATGCAAATGAAAATCAAATATTACCGCTCCGAAAACATTTCCTGGTCCACCTCCGATCTCTATGTTGTGTCCAACTGCATTCCATAAACCGACTACATTAATGCAGGGGTTAGGGACATTAATGCCATTAGGGATGAGGAGACGGAAACCCGGGTGGGACAGGGCTGCCCCACACAAAAACAGAACAGCTAAAAGGGACCTCATGATGGTACACTAGCACTTACACAGCGTGGACTGTTACTATCCTGCTTATCTAGCAGTTTAGAAGCGGGGCGGATGCCTTATCTTTGGTCACGGGAATTCATACGTTGTGGGACAGCTGACTTACTGTGTTGTATACAAGTACCTTGATTTTGTCCTGATAAATGATCTCCATCGTTACGGCAATTATCTAATGTTAAACATTGACTGTGGTCTTATTTCACCACCATTCACATGTACACACTTGGTCGTTCCAAGCAGAGTATGTATTTCAGTATCACTTATCAATTTGCATTTTACATATTTACAGCGATAGTAAATATACAAAATAAATTAAATACAATTGAAACTGCTTTGATGGAACTACATGTAGTGTCAACCGCAGGTCAACTTGACAAAACGTACACTCTAACTAATCTTAAAAAAGAAAACTCTGCTTTCTTGCAATTTCTTGTGTCCTGGATCTGCTGGAATGTTAAATTGATTGAAGGTTGTAATACATTTGGTCATGAGTAGGCCTAACCTTTGTGTGCTGAATATAAAAATGGGACCTTCCTTAGTCCTAGCAATAAAGGGTCATAACCTAAAGATCATTCAACTAATTCTAAGGCAAGTCACTTTTCAAAACAGCCAATGCTTTGATTTCCTGAAATATAAATTTAAATTTGACAAGTAAATCCTTTGCCATTGACCTTTGCTCGGGGTCATGTTTCAAGCCTAGTATGACCTTTAAGATTATTTCAAGATTTTTTGCACTTCAAGGGACCCTAAACACCTACGGTAATAGGTAGTAAAACAATTCTGTGTACGTATCATGGCCATGGCAAGAATTTTACAATTTTGAAACCAAATTAAATTACCCGCAAATCGTAAGCAACTTTACTTCAAGTATCAACCTCTATTCTTTCTCCATTTCAAAGTTGGAGGACAATAACTTAATACTTCTATACCTTGTGACCTTCATCTCGTCCAAATGACCTTGGAACAATGTCGAAACATATATAGTGATAAGTAATTAAGGAAGATAAATTATCTTTGTAGCTGGTAAATCTGAGCTTTCGAATAAGTCTATTGGTTTCCAAGTTATGAAAGAAATTACTTGTACTCTATTCAAATTTGAAACAGAAGTTATGTGAAATAGAAATGTTAAAAATGACTTAAAAAACAAATAAAATGACAGATCAACTTAAGTACCAGGAGCACCTGTTTAAACATATTTATATATTTTTCAGGTATCTCTGGACCAAAAAATGTCAACGGACAGAGAAATGATCATGGTGGCTCCTTCGTTTACTTCGTTTGCCCGGGGGGGGGGGGGGGGTAATACATTATATATTGTGTGCATAAAGCGGTTGAGTGTTAAACCTATCCAGATAGGCTAAAGAATAAACTATTTCATAATACTCTATATCTCTGTACTTAATTCACGAAATAAATAATGTGATTAAATTGTATAAAATTATGTCTCAATAAAATATCTCAAACTTTTCAT